ATCCACCTCAGTGATCCTGAGGTGGATTTTAAAAAAAATGACGCAAAGAAAGGAACACCAGGCCATGACAAGCATTTTAGAGTCAGGCCTCTAAATGATGAGATCCTCAGTGCCTGCCAGGCTCATTACTAAAAAGGAGGGAGTTGTCAGTAGATGAAAGGATGAAAGGTGGCAACCAAAGCAAAAACTGGGATGACACAATATATGAAAGACAAATCGACTAAATGGGGGATGAAAATGTTTATATTGGCTGAATCAAGAAGTGGCTGCACCATCAGCTTTACCATATACACTGGCAAGAATCAAACTTCAAGTGAGCATGGGCTGGCCTATGATGTGGTGATGAACCTCATTTGGCTTTTTTGTCTTGGCACTGGATACCATGTTTACATAGACAATTTTTATACCAGTCCCAGACTGTTCCTGGACCTGACAAGCATGAGGTTTGGTGCATGTGGTACCTACAGGGAAAACAGAAAAGGATGTCCCAAAGACAGGGCAAATGCTCTGAACAGAAAATGTCAGAGGATCTGAGATGGATCAGAGGGCCCACTTGTTTTTGTGAAGTGGATGGACACACGGGAGGTGTCCGTGTGCTCCACCATCCATCCCTGCATTTTCAGGGGAGACGGTGAAGAGAAAGGTGAAGGATGGACACTTAGCTATCAGAGAAATCTCCTGTCCCACACCAATCATGGCATATAATAAAAATATGGGCGGGATTGACCTGTCTGACCAGCTCACTCAGTATTATTTCACTCACAGAAAAACTGCCTGCTGGTACAGGACCATGTTGCTGCATTTTGTGGACATTGCGACAACAAATGCATTCACCTTGCATCATGAGATATGCAGCGCCAACCAGGTTCAGTCCATAGCGCACAAAGATTCTATAGTGTGCGTCAGCTTTGTGGGATGGACAAGACAGGTGTTCCCCACAGCAGGAGAGCTGAACACATTCCTGTTCAAACTGTCACCGACACAGATGCTGCCCAAAAAGCCACTAAAGGCAGACTCAAATGTAAGCGCTGTCTCCAGGAGGACAACAGGTGGAGTGACACACCCTGAAAGTGTCAAGCCTGTGGTGTGCCCCTGTGCCTTGTGGTGAACAGAAAATGTCAGAGAGTTGTTTGAAAAATTCTACATAGGTTTCTAAAATTTACTATTTATATTAAACATGATTTGTTAAACATGTTTGTGGTTTTTACCATAAAAAACGAGACAAATCAGTGCCTTTAGCCTCCCAGCTGGCAGCACTCACATTGTAGGAGCGGTGGTGCCTCTGCTTCCACTGCACCAGGACTATCTGAGCCACCACCAGCGTGGCGATGAGGATCAGCACCATCTCTGCGTGCATGGCCTCGTGTCCTCTGTGCTTCATGTGCAGGCGCTCGTGTTGCACCCTGTATAGATGAAGAAGAGGAGGAGGAGGA